ATTCATATAATTTATATTATAAATAAATATATTTAATATATAAACAGGAGACAAGAGATTGTCAATATGATGCAATAAAGAAATGCCTGATTTACTAATGTCTTGGTCTGACAAAGGATCTTAATACAATCATGTATTTGTGAACTATAAAGTATTACAAAATTGTGTAAAAACTAATTCTAAATTTTTACCTTTATCACATCATTTCTTATGTCAAAACAAAGTACCATACCATAGTTTAACTTGGTACATTGTTTGCTTTTTTATACATGTACCATGGTAGCAATATAGTATTCTTTAAATTCCATGTAAATAGCATATAGTATATAAATATGGTAATAATTCTTCAGTACCATGGTATATGTAGTGGGGTCCAAATTTTGGGACCACATTGAAAAACTGAGATTGCAAATATAAATATAAATATATATAATTTATATTTGCAAATATGCATACTGTATATGTATATAAAATATATTTAAATTATACATAAAATCAGATTTTCTGATGGCTGAATTGGTGATAAAAAATGTAAAAGTAAATACATTTGTAAAAATTTATATATATAATATATCAACACAACACACACACACACACACACACACACTCACTCACTCACAACTCTGTATAGCTATCTTTGTGAGGACATTCATTGACACAATGCAATCTCTAGCTCCTTACCCTAAAATAATCATATTTTCTGATTGATGACAGAATTTGAAAAAGTAAAAAAAAAAGGTTACAAAATTGTAAAAATGGATGGCAGAATTTGTGATAAAAAAAAATAGTAAAAAAGTAAATAAATTTGTAAAAATTTATATATAATATATATGATGGCAGAAAAAGTAAAAAAATTTGAAAAATATATATATATATTGTGAAATATTTTTACTAGTGGTCTCAGACTCATAGTAGGCTTACTATTGTGGTACCATGGAACAGTGATGATAATATGTTGTATTTTATTATCACTACCATGTTACCACCATAATACTTTTTTTTGTAAGAAACTGCAGCAAAATGTATTTGTTAAAACCGTTATCTGAAATTGTTTCTGTGAATGGGTGTGACAGTAAATTGGGGTCTCTGTAGGCATGCAACTGGCCAGTCCGGGCGTATGTATGTGCATGTGAGAAAGTTTGTGTGTGAGATGTTTGTAGGTCACTATCGCAAGAGCAGGTTGGCATGGCTGAATATGAAAGTTGATGATAGCACATTCCCCTCACATTTCACAGGTTCGTAATAATCTCTTACTTCACTCCTCTCACTTCCAATCTCTCACCCCGCAATATCTCTCTCTCTCAGAGTTTAACTGCTTAGCCTGTCACTCATATCAGCCTCGGAGCCCCACTGTGAGTGAGTGAGTGAGTGTGTATGTGTGTGTGAAATATTAACCGAAGGTCATCTTCTTCTGGCAGTCGTCTCACTTGATACCATCATGTGCGAATGAACAATATGTGCCTGTCCTGAACAGTTTTTTGCTTATAGTCAAGGTTGAAGCTGAATTCTCATATTTTTATATTCTTAATACACACAATACAAACACATATTTTTGTAGTGTAAATTCTCAATGAATGCACATATTGCATTAAGAAATATTAACATTGCTAAAGCACAATTTATCAAACTCCTGACTGTGTGTAGCACCTGCAGCTCTGCATCTGCAAAGGATCCCAGCATTAGGAAAGAGCCACAAAAGTTTAATTTTAGATCATTTCAGTCTGATTTTAACAGTTTGAGTGGCACAGTGAAGACTGTAAACATGGGCAGCAGCAAACTACTGTATATTTTAGCACATTTTTTTCTCATTTTGCATGCAAAGGCAGCATCTAAATTAAAGTCTTAAAGGAAAAGAAGTGAAAAAGTCCACACACACACAGAATTCCCTCTGTGGTCTATTAACAGTATAAAGTTAACCTCAAAAACTGTCCATTTAATTGTAAAGTCATAGGGAAAATGGTCTATTCTATTTGTTTTGTGTGCAAAAATGTGACTAACATTATAAGTAGACATAACGATTAAATAAAATATACATTAAAAAGTTTTTGATTCATTTCTTTAGGTTTTGTTTTAAAAAACACTACATATGAATGATACAAAACACCCTTTTTCATGCTTGCAAATAGAAGTGTTTTTTTATAGCTTGACTTACATGGAAGTGTGGCATTTTTTGATATTTATGCTGTTCTCTATTTGCACATGCATATTATACAAGCCCAAACTCGGTCTTTGAATTAGAAGTGAGCTTGAACTTTAAAGTGACTCATATCACATTCAATCGCAAACAAAAGCGTTTATTACAAGTATAATGAGAACATAGGAGGAAAGACGACGGTTAAAGGAAACAAGAGATGAATCAGGAGAAGAAAGCAGTGACTTGTGTGTAGAATCATTGAGTTGACATCGTGTTAGATTAGGGTTCAGTGACAGAAAGAAACTACAGAGTGAACATACCTGCTGTTGTTCTTTGATGATGTCTCTCTCGATTTGAGTCTCCTGTCGTTTCTTCCTCCCTTAATTATCTTTCGCTCCTCTCCGGTTTTCTTTAAGTTCCTCGCTTGTGTGTGTGAACTGGAGGCAGGTGAGTGGATGATGAGCTCAGTTCAGCTCCGCCGTGGCGACTCCTTCAGTCAATACAGCGCGCGTGCGAACGTCTCCTCCTCCTCCTCCTCCTCTTCCTCCTCCTCTCTCTCTCGTCTGAGACTGAAAGAGAACGATGCCCTCAGATGTTTCCAAATCGCTCTCATTTCGTCTCTAGTTTCATCAACATCGTACACTGCAAACTACAGCGAGTAGTTAATAATAAAAATCTAATAAATATCAGCATGTACCAAAACACAGAATTGTTTGACTAATGGCAGCATAATACACACCAAAACCAAAAATGCCATGTTGATTTGAAGGTTTAATGTTATACAATGATGGAAATCTATGGATATAATTACGTTTTTTTTCCATTCTGATTCTTTATTCATTAAATACAACCCTAAAATAAACTAAATAATTAAATTTAATAATTAATTTCATGTTTCTATTATTTTTCTTCTATGAATTCCATAATGATCCTGGGGGAAAAAAACAATAGTAGATTTCCACTGTACACAGATTATTGTTTAGACAATATAACAATGTTATGGAATACAGAGATAAAATGACAGAATTATTTTGGATCCAGAAATAAAATTTTTAATTCAGTTATTTTAAAGAGTGGGCTACTAAAATGATTACATGTCAAACAGTTGTCAGATTGAAGCATAGAGTAAACATGTGGTCGTTTGTTTCAAATGTTTCAATGTTAACACTTATGGCGTGATCTATGGTAAAGCACATTCACGCGTGTGAGAAGTGGTATTAAATTCATATTTAATGTGAATCAGCCATGACCAATTCATAAGTTTCATCCTTCAAGTTTCATTGAATTCCAATAACAATTAAAAAAAATGGAGCTCACAAACTAGTTATTAAATTTTAAAAAATGGATTAAACAATAAAAAGGCAACAAAAAAACAATAGTAGATTTCCACTGTACACATTATTGTTTAGACAATATAACAATGTTATGAAATACAGAGATAAAATGACAGAATTATTTTGGATCCAGAAATAAAATTTTTAATTCAGTTATTTTAAAGAGTGGGCTACTAAAATGATTACATGTCAAACAGTTGTCAGATTGAAGCATAGAGTAAACATGTGGTCGTTTGTTTCAAATGTTTCAATGTTAACACTTATGGCGTGATCTATGGTAAAGCACATTCACGCGTGTGAGAAGTGGTATTAAATTCATATTTAATGTGAATCAGCCATGACCAATTCATAAGTTTCATCCTTCAAGTTTCATTGAATTCCAATAACAATTAAAAAAAATGGAGCTCACAAACTAGTTATTAAATTTTAAAAAATGGATTAAACAATAAAAAGGCAACCTTAAAGCAAAAATAAGTTAATTCAACTTTCTTTTATTAATAACAAAAACAGCAAAACCGTACAATGCCAACATCAAAATCCAAAACATATACAAGGCAAACCCTGAGTACAGTGATTAGAAGCTCTCAAACTATGGTACAATACAGACCACAACTCCCATGAAGCCATGGGAAATGAGGAAATAAAACTGAGACATTTCAGTACAAGTCAGAGTTATTTTTTAATAGTATCTGATGAATAAGCTACAGCTAATAAATCAAAGCCCCCCTACAAGAAACGAACCTCTAAGAGCAGTGTTGTAACACTGGATAAAATGAGAGTGCTTTGTGTTCAGTACAACAGTACCCATAACTTTGCAAACCTATAAAACAAAACTCAATGAACTGGTGTGAGAAAGTGCTGGAAAAATAGAAAAAAAATGCAGCATGACTGTGTTCACAGTGATATCAATATTCCGTCATCGCTATAATTTCAAACAAGTCAAGCATCCTGTGACCTGCTGTGACTTACAGGGCTCAGTAAAATTTTATTGTCATTTTTGAATTAATGCAATGATCTTATTTACACCTCTTAGCTGCACCATCAACAATAATAAATAAAAAAAGCATTAATGAAGTAACGGAAGTACAGTGATAATGACCGATGAAAGCAGATTTAGCGTAAAAAAGGAGGGGGAAGCCACTGTACCCTGGTGCTCAATAACCAAACAGAGAAAATCCAAACATGTGCCCTGAATGTGAAAACCCCAAAATAAAACTAGTTTAACAGTGTGCAGCATGACTGTGTTCACAGTGATATCAATATTCCGTCAACGCTATAATTTCAAACAAGTCAAGCATCCTGTGACCTGCTGTGACTTACAGGGCTCAGTAAAATTTTATTGTCATTTTTGAATTAATGCAATGATCTTAATTTACACCTCTTAGCTGCACCATCAACAATAATAAATAAAAAAAGCATTAATGAAGTAACGGAAGTACAGTGATAATGACCGATGAAAGCAGATTTAGCGTAAAAAAGGAGGGGGAAGCCACTGTACCCTGGTGCTCAATAACCAAACAGAGAAAATCCAAACATGTGCCCTGAATGTGAAAACCCCAAAATAAAACTAGTTTAACAGTGAACACTCGCCAGCCTAAATAAAGTAATCAAATGAACATTGATTTAAAACACAGTCAGAACAGTTACCTAAATGCATACAGTGCATCACCAACAGTGAGTCAAACTTTAAAATAAGCAAACGTAAAATATAAATATGTATTTGTGAGCTTAAAAGTGTCTTTAAAGTTAGTTAGCCATGACAAAGAAAGAAAAACACAGACAATACAAATAAATGGGTGGAACAAGCCAAAGCGAAGAAAGCTCGTCAAATGTTTCAGTGTGTGGATGTGAGGAATTAGGTTACAGTATGATCGTATGATCATAAATGTCATTCCCTCAATATACACCTTCACATCACACCCAGGGTGACCCTATTTGCAAAGGTGTTTGAAAGTTTGGACAACGAAGTTCATTGCTTGATCTCCATCAAGTTGTTCTCCTCTGCTTCTATAGGATTCTACCCGAAGACAAAGGAACAAAGTGAGACTGTGAAAGTGACTGCATCTTCATTTTAGGTGCTCAAATCTTACCAAGAAAAGGAGTCTGTGCTAGTGCTGAAGGCTACAGAAGGGTTAGCAAAGTCTGGACTCCACAATCCACATAGTTCTGAAAGAGAATCACACATACACTCTTCTTATATTGATGAGCCTTTCAATTTGAGCACACTTTTTCCCTTCAGTTTGCAATTTTCATATTAAGCCAGCACTGCCATCTAAAGGCTTACCACAGCACAACAATCCAATGTAATATGGGTGCATTGCACTTCATTAACTATGATTAATAAAGACTGTATGGTTACGGTCTTGTGGCACATTGTGATTGACATGTATCATGACACAGATCATGTTCTGAGGTAGCTGCTCAGAGCTACCCTTCACACTTGTGGAAGTCATGAAAACAAACTATGATAGTGGATCTGGTTCACTACCTAGTGCCCTGACAGTTCACATCACTAATATCTCACGTTAGTCCTATTACTCACAAAGATACTCAAAAGGCTTTCACTACAACTTGCTAAAATACATTTGTTTTAACTTGAAATTGATAGAAATATTGCTATTGTATATTAAAATATGCTCAAAGTAATAATAAATATGAATAACAACAACAATTAAAACATTTAAGAAAAAACACAAATTAACTTTTCTGCCACAAATCATAAATATCAAAATCAAACAGAAAACACATAATTGGTAAAAAAAAATAAAAACTTCATAGGGCCATGATTGCGGAGTATTTTAGCAAATCTCTGACCTTAGGACCTTTAGCGCAGACTAAAATAAAGCCTGTGCTTATTGCTACACTGCACTGACATTATTAAAATGCTAGAGGCAGCTGTCTTGGACTAGCTTACACACACTCTTCTCAATTTAATTTAATGGGTAGGGCAAGAACACTGGGCTAACTAAAGTGGTTAACATCTTTGTTCAAATTACACTGCAAACAATTACAATATATTGGTGCATCTCCAAGGATAAAAGGACAGTAAGATTACTCAATGTTTTAAAAGAAATTTTATATTTGAACAAGGCAGCATTTTTTTATTAATAAATACATTTAAAACAGTTCTACTGTGCAATATTATTTTAGTTTAAAATAACTTTTATTTGAATATAAAACAATTTATTCCCATGATGGCAAAGCTGAATTTTTTAAGTCTTTACTACAGTCTTCGGTGTCACAAGATCCCTCAGAAATCATTCTAATAAGCCGATTTGGTGCTCAAGAAACATTTATTTCTATCAGTATTAAAAGCTTAATATTTGTGTGGAAACCATGATTCCTTGATAAATGGTTAAAAAGAATAGCATTTATTTGAAACTGAAATCTTTTGTAACATTAGAAATTCTTTACGGTCACTTTTGATCAATTTAGTTCAAAAGTCTTACTGGCTGCAAACTTTTGAATAGAATTTTTTTTTTTCTAGACATGGCATTTGGAGATGCAACTACAACAATCCAAGTTCAACCTATTACGCTCAGTTCCTTATTTACCAACCGAGAAAAAAGGGGAGTGGAGCTGACCTGATTGACAAGCCTCGTCCTCTGATTTTTTTTCTAGACATGGCATTTGGAGATGCAACTACAACAATCCAAGTTCAACCTATTACGCTCAGTTCCTTATTTACCAACCGAGAAAATAGGGGAGTGGAGCTGACCTGATTGACAAGCCTCGTCCTCTGCTCTCCACACCACTGTGGCAGGGGATACTAATACAGACACACACACAAACAAAAACTCCCACAATGGTCAAATTTATCTGACAGTTTTTAAAAAAAACCTAATACATCCAGAAAACAAAGTGTGCATGAATGTGTGACTGTACCTGGTATGCATATGTGGTCTGTGCATAGTTCATGGGCACCTGTGGGACAATAAATCCTGGAGGACTGGAGTACGTGTAAGGCTATGAAGAGACAGGCATGCAGGAAAAACCGATGAAAACACTGATATTCTACAATTTTTGGAATGTGCAAAATTTTAACTCCTTCACATGATGTTAATATGCAGTGTGTCAGGGTTTGTATGAACATTGTATAGTTACCTGCATGTATTGATTCCCTCCATTGAAGACAGGTGAGGGCGGGGCCAGGCCTGGGGGACAGCAGCTGCAGTACACATACGGGCTGGGGCTTATCCACTGTGATGGACCAATCATTGGAGATGACACGGAACCTGGAAATACGATTCCAACACATTTTAACTAATGAAATTGCATGACTTTTTACGTTGTTAAAATAACAAGTCATTTAAAAAGATCTGAGCATTTCCAAAAGTGCCCACTACAAATCCTTGAAATTAAAACAAATTAAAAGCACAACTGCCTCCAATAAGATCAAAAACTTGTTCAATATAGCAATTCCATGACTTCTGTACAAGACAGACCAAACAGACAGTGAAGTGCAAGGACTCACGAGAATTTCGCTCTTTCATGATGGCAGGTCCCAGTTTGAGTTTTTTCCCTTTAAAACTGATCGGCTGCTGTAGAAGAATTGAAGTAGTACAAGACGTTAAGATGCCCTCATAACATCAACACCAAGACAAAAAGAGAGAGAAGACTGTCACAGCACAGACAAGTAAAAATGACCTCCTTACATCAACGATAGTCTGGATATCAACGTCCTCGCTGAAATAAACAAAACCATACCTGTGAGAAAGAAGATGTACAACTAATCAGAGGCGGCAGGTAAAGACATTTTTTAAAGCGGTTTCCAAGAATTATCCTATAAAAGGATAGTTTACACCACAAATGACAAATCTGTAATCATTTACTCATCTACATGTTGTTTCAAAATTACTTTGGAATGGAATGACAGTAAATGACAAAAGAAGCATTTTCGGACACTTGATATATATATATATATATATACACACACACACAATAAAATACATACAACATGCTTTGAATAACCTATTAGAAAACAACTCTTAAACAACAGTTTAAGCTTGTTGGCTGGTCTTAGCTGGTATCCAAGCCTTGTCAGATGATTTAGCAGGCTGGTTTTTTAAGGATTTTAAACACTATGTAGTCAGGCTAACTACATCCAACTTAAACCAAGACCAGCATAGACTGATTTTAATTGATCATTTATTTTTTTCCCAGCAGGGCAAATTACAACTCTCACTCACCCTTTGCATATTCCTCCTCGATAAGTGATGATTTTCACTTCTTTTACAGACCCATACTTGGCAAAGAACTCTAGGATCTCGTTCTCATCCACCTGATGGAAAAAGTGCCAATTTGGAGAGTAGCTACACTATATGGACAAAAGTAATGGGACACCCCCTTCTAATGAACAGGTTTGACTACTTTAAGTCATTTTCATGAGTACAAATCTTAATGTTTAAGCATATAATGATCCTCATCACCAAACACCAATGACTTGTACATATGGGTACAGTCATTTTAGACACTTCCAAAACTGTTGCAACAGAGATGCATGTTCCAAAATGATGGAACATGCATGTTCCAAAATGCTGCTGCAAGAATCTTAACAAACACCAGAAAACGGGATCATATAACGGCTGTATTGATATCTCTTCACTGGTTACCTGTAAAATACAGAATACAATACAAGGTGTTAATGTTTGTCTATAAAGCATTACACGATCAGGCTCCTGAGTACATAATGGACATGTTAATTTCTTACCAGTCTCAACGCCATCTGCGCTCCTCTCAGAATATGCTCCTAACCGTCCCACGGTCTCAGTTGAGGCGTAGTGGAGACCACGCTTTTTCGGTTGCGGCTCCTACTCTCTGGAATGTGTTACCATTTTCTATCAAATCCTCGGGTAGCATGGACATTTTTAAAAAGGACTTGAAGACCTACTTATTTTATCAAGCTTTCGGCGTTTAATTAGGTCAGAGAATTGTGAGGGATTGGCTGCATGTTTTTCTTGATGTTATGTTGTTGTTATTTTATGTTTGCATGTATTTTAGTATTATTTTTTACTTATGGACAGCATTTTGGTCCATTTGAATGGTTTTGAAAGTGCTTTATAAATAAAAATTGAGTTGAGAGATGGAAATACAATTTTTATACATGAATTATGTTTTTTGTTGCCAGTTTTGAAAGTGCCTTTTTGTTCTAAAGAAGGGGGTGTCCCAATACTTTTGACTATATAGTATATGTACAAGTCATTGGTGTTTGGTGAGTTTTTAGCTCAAGGTCTGCATTTAAAGTCACACTAGAGGTGTTCAGCTGGGATCAGGACTTGGCTTTCTGCAGACCAGTTCTTCCACACTGACTGAATGATTTCTTTTTGAACCTTGCCTTATACACTTGCCATGTTAGAATAGAAAAGGGTCAGGTTCAAACTGTTGCTATAAAATTAGAAGCCCACAGTTCCCTAGAATATCATTATATGCTTAAACATCAAGATTTGTACTCATGGAAATGACTAAAGTAGTCAAACCTGTTAATTAGAAGGGGGTGACCCAATACTTTTGGCAATATAGTGTTGTAGGTAGAGTTTAGAATTGTACTGCAGCAGTTTGAACATGCAAGGCCACAAAAATGGTCAGCGACATTACCTTCATGTCAATCCCGCCGACGAACAGTGTGTTGGGCGTCATCTTGCCCTCAGGTAAAATATAACCATTAGACAACTTCAGAGAGGACGGAAAGCCCTGACGGTGCTTCTGGATATCCTGTATGTATTTCACAACATTTTCGGCTTTATATCAACACACATTATTAACAAGACAATGAACACGTAGCAAGTACAATATAGGCCCTCAAAAACCAACCAACAGCCACACATTTGAGGTTCAAAATACGATTACCTGTGAATATAACCCACATATGAGGCACAGGGGTAACTTAACGCCCTGATACATCTTAGATTTGAAGTAAGGCCACACGTTTTGTTACTTATTCCCTAAAAATACACCCCAAAGTCAGCCGAAATACTAAATGAAGACGTTTCAAATTGCTCAACACACTCAAGGCCGAAACCGGATCGATCTCCAACACGTGTTTGTTCATGTTTCTTCATTAAGCAATCTGGGCATTTACGCTAAAATGAGTTAATTGGACGAACATTTGTGCTATCCTGACAGATGTAAGTTAATCTAATGGCCGACGGTGGGATTTCCTCTGATGGCGAGTTTGCTGCGCGAACCTTTTTACAGCAATGAACTTGATATTAATAACAGCGAACTTTATAGATGGTGCCTGAGAGATTAAGTTATCACATACTATTACTACTTTTGTTACTTACCATATCTAAAACAATCAGGACTTGGCTTTCTGCAGACCAGTTCTTCCACACTGACTGAATGATTTCTTTTTGAACCTTGCCTTATACACTTGCCATGTTAGAATAGAAAAGGGTCAGGTTCAAACTGTTGCTATAAAATTAGAAGCCCACAGTTCCCTAGAATATCATTATATGCTTAAACATCAAGATTTGTACTCATGGAAATGACTAAAGTAGTCAAACCTGTTAATTAGAAGGGGGTGACCCAATACTTTTGGCAATATAGTGTTGTAGGTAGAGTTTAGAATTGTACTGCAGCAGTTTGAACATGCAAGGCCACAAAAATGGTCAGCGACATTACCTTCATGTCAATCCCGCCGACGAACAGTGTGTTGGGCGTCATCTTGCCCTCAGGTAAAATATAACCATTAGACAACTTCAGAGAGGACGGAAAGCCCTGACGGTGCTTCTGGATATCCTGTATGTATTTCACAACATTTTCGGCTTTATATCAACACACATTATTAACAAGACAATGAACACGTAGCAAGTACAATATAGGCCCTCAAAAACCAACCAACAGCCACACATTTGAGGTTCAAAATACGATTACCTGTGAATATAACCCACATATGAGGCACAGGGGTAACTTAACGCCCTGATACATCTTAGATTTGAAGTAAGGCCACACGTTTTGTTACTTATTCCCTAAAAATACACCCCAAAGTCAGCCGAAATACTAAATGAAGACGTTTCAAATTGCTCAACACACTCAAGGCCGAAACCGGATCGATCTCCAACACGTGTTTGTTCATGTTTCTTCATTAAGCAATCTGGGCATTTACGCTAAAATGAGTTAATTGGACGAACATTTGTGCTATCCTGACAGATGTAAGTTAATCTAATGGCCGACGGTGGGATTTCCTCTGATGGCGAGTTTGCTGCGCGAACCTTTTTACAGCAATGAACTTGATATTAATAACAGCGAACTTTATAGATGGTGCCTGAGAGATTAAGTTATCACATACTATTACTACTTTTGTTACTTACCATATCTAAAACAATTAAAATGCCAAAATAAGTTAATGAAGCGCGTGGCTCGTTGGGTCTGTGCCTCTGGCTGGAGGAGTTGCATTAAAGCGCCACACCCATTCTCAGCCTAATTGGAAAATAAATACCAAATAAGGCGAATTTTAAAGTTATTAATACTGTGAATAACATTCATGTTTTACTCGTGAATCGGTCAGAGCTCAAACATTATACATTGTAATTATTTCTAAAATAAGATGACAGATTTGGTAGAGTCTAGAAGTATCTATTTAACGTACCGCACGAAAGTTACACCAGGTACTCGATGACATTAAAAACATACTGCGAAATTTATGGGCCATCAATTTTTCTTAACTTTTTAAATGCAAAACAAATCAGATTAATTTAAATGAGGTAATGTAAAACAGTCTGAATTTGACGATCAATTGGATGAAATGCTAGTTAATTTAGTGTTAAGGAGACAATCTTGCTATAGCAATAACTGACCGCTAGATGTCGCGTTTGAAAATCACGAGCTACATATTTGGACTGAATTTTAGGTTATGTGCTTCAAAAACAACTCACCTACTGTCTACTGGTTGACTATTTAGGTAGTATGAGGAAAATGATCATCTCCACAGAAAAGGGAAATAATTGAGTAAAAATAACACCAGGGTATAAGGAAAGTGTAGTATGCACAAAGCTTTGGATTAGACAAGAGTAATGCTTTTTATTCATCCAGAGTTAATAGGATATCAGTATTAGAAACATCCCTCCTGTCATGTGAAAAATAATACACAGTTACCACGGGAACCAAGACAAAATGAGGCTACTGACACCAGAGAAATACTATAACATAAAAGTTTCACATATCATTGAATTAAAAATAATGACAAATATGAAAAAAAAAAAATCCATAATTTAACAAACGATTATGTTTTGGTCTATGAACTAAAATCTTAAAAAAAGAAAATACAGACAAAAATGAATAACTGTTCAGGCACTGGTTCATGGAAAATCAGTAAAGATGAGTGAGTGAATGAGAGCGACACAGTCCATATTAATACTAAAGCTCTCTACTTCTAGATTGAGCACCTGTCAATGTCCCGCATTTATCACACAACAATTAGTACTCCAAAAAAACTACAAAGACAGAGAGAGGGAGAACTGTAGCAAATATAGCTTTTATCTGAGGCAGAGTGTGTTAAATGTATTTCACAGGATATTGATTTAGGAGAAAACAAATATAGGTTTTCCACATAAACGTCAAGGTGATGTCCACAACTTTCAGCCGTAAGGGCATTTTCAAAGAAAATTACAGAATGGAGAATCTCATTTGAGTTGAGGCTGCTTTTTATGGCTTTGGCTACTACATTTAGGTAACGGAGGAAAGGATCCATGGTAAACATGGTATAGGGCCTTATATTTGGGGGAAAAAAAAAAAAAAAAGTTTGAATTAAGATGTACGTAAATACACAGCCAGAGGTCCAGGATTTAAGAAACAAGATGTGGTTTAGGGATTATATTCACAGAAAGTTCAGAGAATATTTACATTATCATCCAAAAGTCTGGGCTCAGTAAGATTTTTTTAAAGAAATTAATACTTTTAATGACTTTTACTTTTTTCAATGAGTATGGATTAATTTGATCAGAAAGTCTATTCATCAAAGAGAGCTGAATACAGTTGTAACACGATTTCCACAAAAATATTAATAGCACAACTGTTTTCAACACTGATAGTAATAATAATGGTTCTTGAGCACCAAATCAGAAAGATTTCTGAAGGACCATGTGACACTGAAGACTGGAGTAATGGCTGCTGAAAATTCAGCTTTGCCATTACAGAAATAAATGACATTTTCAAATATTTAAAATTCTAATACTATTTCACAATAGTACGGTTTTTACAGAATTTTTCAAACAAAGGCAGTCTTGGTGAACATAGACTTCTTTCAAAAACAAAAAAAATCCTACTGACCCCAAACTTTTAAACGGTAGTTAATTATTTTATTACATAATTAATTTAGAATAGCCTAATGTAATACAAATTCAGAATTTTTCTTTTTGGTTAAACTTACTGAAAAAAACCTGGTGACAAAAAGCAGCATAACTCATTATGAAATACACGATAAAGGCCCGTTCACACCAAGCACGATAACTATAAAGATATAGTTCTAAAAATCGTTCTCAATATTAAAGAATAGCATAGTTCACACCACAACTATAACGATAACGATACAGAGGAACGATATCGTTGTGATCACTTTCAAAACTATTTTTTTTCCAGCTGATGAACGATAAAACACTGACAGCCAATCAGAATCTATCCTGCTGTAACGAGCTCAAGAATTTAAAGCGGCAGACGCATGTGCGCTTAGAATAAACCGACCATATCGTTCGCTGGTGTGGACGCTAATATCGTTATCTTTATAGTTATCTTTATAGTTATCGTTCTTGGTGTGAACGGGGCTTTACACAAAGTTTATTTGAACACAGACACGCATGCATGGATTATACAGCAGACACGTCACAGTAAAAGCATAAAAAAAATACAGGATCAAATAAAATGCATTTATACAGCACACATGCACGCTCTGGTGCTGATGATGTTGTCATGGTAGCAGTTACCTGGGGTATCAGAGTGAATCTGGGCAGGGAGAGATATCTGGGAGGCTCCACCAGAACCTACATCTAACAGACAGCAGAGTAAGGCTACAGCACACACCTATTCTGTCACATGTACCTGTGCTTGAGCACATGCATGTACACATTCACATCATAATCCATGCACACTGAAGTATTAATAACTTCAGGAGGTATACGGGTAAAATTAACACAATCCATAAGCGTACAGGGTCGAAAAGGTGTGCGTATGCGAGTGCTCACCTTTGCTGAGGTGCACCGGCAGACTTTCAGACTTCAGCAACCGGTGCTGATGGTGCGTTTGCGGGAACGGCTGCGATTTCATCTGCGTGTTTGAGGGGGCGGTGCATGATGGAGGCTCGGCCAATGGGCGTGGCACAGGAGCTTGAGGGGGAGGAGCTGAAATCACCTCATTGTTAATTGGCGAGATGCCGCTGGAGCCGCCTCCCATTGGTGCGATGAGCTTCCGGCCGAAATTAAGAAGAGAACTGGATACTTTATTAATGTTGAGAGGTGCTGCTTTAGTGCTGGCCCTGGAGAAAAATAAAAAAATATTATATTATAAATGTACAGCGCATATATGTTTAATACATTTTTAATAATTATATTATTAATCCTTAGATTAATGCTTAATTTCTACTTTAAACAAGAGTGGCATCAAATGTGTGTGTATATATATATATATATATATATATATATATAAAAGGTAATGCACAAAAATACAAGATACCGAGTCTTGTTGACCAAGTCGGCCCCACGGGTTTTGTAGTAATCAAGGTTTTGCTGGAACTGGTAGTTTACCGGTCTTGGATTATTCTAAAGTTATATAAAAAGACAAATGACAAAAATAGCAAATAGTAAGTACATAATCAATTCCAGAATAACTAATAATAATAATAATAATAATAATCTTATATATAGATTATAACAATTATATTATTATGACTCCAATTACATTACTAAATACTACATTTAATAAATATTCTTATATTATAATTATAAATATACATTTTTAAAAATACATTTCATAAAATAAATTATATTTGTATTTTTAGTATATTTACTTTTTTAATAATATTAAAAGTGAAAATGTGCATGACAGTACCTTAGGGTCTCTGAGAAAGAGTGCTTTCAGCAGCAGAGAGTGGATGTCTCCGATAGGAGGATAGTGCATCAGGAGCCCGAGACACGTCTGGAAGTTACTAGCGATCACTATGATATGAAAAACACAGGAACGATAGATACTGCATATTCAAATAAACTGATAAAGTTCTTTTAGAGCTCTTTGTAAAGGTACATGTTCAGTGCCAGCAGGCATAAGCCAACTAATCTGCATACCATTACTTGCTGTGTTTGGATTGGTTATGTAGGTGTGATTTGACTAGACACACTATTGACATACTGTTTGTGGGTTTATATTGCTTGATATATATAGAGCTACAAGGTGAACACTCAAAGTGCATTTACCCCTTAAGAAGTCTATATCTTGTGTTGTGAATGAAGCATAGATGAGAGAATTGAACTCACATGCATCTCTGATGTACAGAAGCATAGCGACAAACACGTAATCCACCAGGTCCAAAGTGATGCTGTCTGTGAAAAGAGCATCCCAGACCACCAACAGATCCTGCAGGGGAAACTCCCGACCAAACAGCAGTCGAACCCAGCGACTGCCCACAAACACAAAGAGAATTCATGAATGATGGGGGGAAAAGTGACAAATAAAAAACAAAAACACAAAAAAAACACTTATGTTTTAACATATCTTTAATCCTACATGGTTGGTTTATATTCAACACGTAGAAATGACAAGAAAATATGCTTAAATAATAATATATATTTAAAAATATACCATAATATTATATTAAATTAGTATAAAAATAGTAATATAGTTCATTCATACTCACATGCCATAAATCTGGGGAGCTATTTCTAGCCTGTTGAGGTGCATGTACAGCTCAATGTCATGCTTCTTTACTAGCTGGTCCTGAATTCGGTTGACTTTGGTCACAATGGCCACAGAAGGGCCCGAGTCCTGTGGTCTCGCAAAGGGGATGCTGGTTAACATCTCTTCTTTGCCCTGAAAGATTTAAACATAAGTAATCTTGACAAGATTGAAGTTTGAATTTGACACTAACAAAATATCAATGCAGTAGATATATCAAGATACATAACAATATCAAGTTTTACATAAAATCCTTCCTGGTACCTTTCTGACCTCCCGTTCAAAACTGCTGAACCAGGGTTCTGCTGTCTCCATGAGCAGTGAAAACATGGCACTAAGGGAGAATTGACGAACAAAAAGACAGACTGAGCAAAGTGTGTTTAGCAACTATATGCATTTAAATAGAGACACGACGATTTGGTTTAAGATTTGTTATGATAACGTGACAATTACTCACTAAGCGTCATGCTCATGGAATTTAGGATCCAGAAGGACTTTCATCTCTTCACTGCAAATGATAAAAGACATAAAAATATAAAGAAAAACGGAAAATTCCATTAATAATGATTCAAAACACTACACAGAACAAATATAAACTTTAATTTGAGCAAGTCTTCAGACGGTCTTGTCTGTGTGGTAAATAGGTCAGACCTGGGATTGGCCGTCTCACTGGCATGTTGAAACGCCTGGTGATCACAGTGGAGAACAAACACTATAGGAGCCAGTAACTCATGCATGCCCTGTAGAAAGATTGAGAGGGAGGGATGAAGAGGCAAAAAAACAAGGATAATGTAGAGAGATGAATGCTTTTGGGAAATTATTATTAGATACATCTGAGCCAGTCTGACAGGTTATGTTGTGGTGTGGCAGTATTTGTCACAATCATTAAGTGTTTATAAACCTGCTTATAGAGTAGCCGTTCGTTCTCTCGTGCATAGCAGAAGAGAATATCAGTCAGCTTTGTCCTGACATCCTCTTCCTGGAAGTACAGCATCTCTGGAAACCTGCAGCCAATCAAGGAGTAACAGACGTATAATATAATATAATAATATTATATAATATAATACAACAGTATCCAAATTAAATTCTATTATGTATGAAAAAAACAAAAAACAAATAAAAAGATATACTACCATTCAAAAGTTTGGGGTCAGTAAGATGTTTTATTATTTTTTAAATAAATTAACCCTTTTATTCAGCAAAGACACATTCAATTTATTAAAAGTGATAGTAAGGACATCGACATTGTTGCAAAAAAAAAAAAAATCTATTTAAAATAAATGCTGTTCTTTTGTACTTTCTATTCATCAAAGAATCCTGAAAAGATGTATCACAGTTTCTGCAAAAATATTAAGGAGCACAGCTGTTTTCAACATTGATTAGAGTTTCTTGAGCACCGAATCAGCATATTAGACTGATTTCTTAAGGATCATGTGAAACCGAAGACTGAATGGATGGTAGTGTATAGGGCTGTCAAAATTACTGAAAAACTAAATTTGAATTTTCCACTTAAATATTATCAAAATTCGAATTATATTCGAATTTAAAAGGAATAATTTCAGTTAGGGGGAAAAAAGCTTTTGGCTTCTCTCCTGAGGCCACAAGAGGGCGCATCGAGCAAAATATTATGCACATTTCTTCAAAGCGTAATAAAATAACAGGACCATCTTTGGAAAAAAATTGCATAATGTTTAATTAAAATAATGTTTATAAATCATATATAATTAATAAAGTTGCTTAAACAACTGGAAAAAAAACAGCACCATGCATTTATGTATAGTTTAATACAAAGGACCGAAAACCAATCACAAAGAGTAGGCTACTTTCTTCATTTAAAATCATGAGATACAGTGGCATGGGGGAAAACCGCCATAAAGTCTTGAGACATGTTTTTTAAAAGTTGAACTTACATTAATTTTACATGGCTTTCTAAACATGCTGCTCTCTTGTGCGAGACGCGAGTGCAACACTGATAGATGCCCCACTAGAAAATGTGATAAATTCTGTGTGAACAGTTTGGTTTCGGTGTAAACAACATATTCGCCACACTAATGCTCTCGTTTTCCGCTATATATTGAATGAACAACATAGCAGCGCCGAATCTAGTGGGTTCAACTGGATAGGCTAACAAAAGCATTAAAATGCAATGACACTTACATTGTCATCGCATTTCGTGCGGCCCTGATAAGGCTGCCTGACGGCTGACGCAGACCTTTAATTCAAATGCAACATTTTTGGATTCGAATGTGGATTTTTTTTTTTTAAATTCGACGAATATTCGAAATTCAAATTTTTTTTGACAGCCCTAGTTGTGTATCTGTACAGGTAGTTCACACACTTACGTTCGTAAAACATCTTGTTTGATCATGCCCCTGAGCTCCTTATCCTGAAAGAACTTATTCCATAGACTCTAAAGAGAGACACAGAGGAAAAAAAAGAAAAGATGTCAATCAAACAGTAATAGACGGATCCAGCCATTCTTATGGTTTTACTGCATTGGCTGTTCTCTCACCCCCTCATCCTGTGACAGTGGGTTGTTCACCACCAGGTCATGCTGGCCAGCAGCTTTGCGAGGGTTTGTAATATGCTGCAGTTCAAAACAAACGATCATGATTTAGTGTCACAACCTACTGAAGACACATAAATGTGTGCACGCACATACCGTCTCTTTGATCTTCTCATACTGTGCTCTGTGCTCCTTAGTTCGACTGATCCATTGAGTCTTATCTTCTGACAGGACGTCCAGATAAAGCTGGAACCAACGAAAACAAAGCTCATAATTTTTTCTGCCCCGTTTGGCACAGAAATCACACACTTAATCTTTCATCCCCAATAACAACAAGAAGACGGTTTTCATGCAGTAAACCTGTCATCTGCCACTGTCAGGTAGCCATTACCTTCCAGCATACGCTGCGGAATCGGCTGCTCCGTAATCGTCCGTTAATACCAGCCTGCCTGGTCCGCGCCAGATAGTTACTGTTCTGGAACAAATCATCCCACTCCTTCCTGTAAAGAGCATGTCAAACAGAAAGTTAGAGGATAGAGATACACCTTCATCACAGCAGTGGGTTTCATATGAGAACCAGAGTAGATTTCTGATGCTTTGTTACATTAGGGACAAATGAATGACCTGTATGATTGAAACGTGGACTCAACAGCACTATCCAATGATCCTCCTGAAATTAAAGAAACAAAATTACGAAAACAGTTCAGAGTCTTAAGACATCATAGTTTGTGACCTAAACATGGAAACGACTGAATTCGGAATAAATATTTTTTAGATAACAAGTTCATCTTTTTCATAGTGCAGTTTAGCACTAGGCACTATATTGTGTATTAATAATACAATCATAGTAATTTTTCTAACAATGTGAAATTACAAATCAAATACAAAATGCCTCCTTGTCTTGTTACTTTTAATGACGGCAGAGATGTTTCAATAGTGTTACTGATTTAAACATACCATAAACATTAGATTTCACAAGAATTCTGAATCAGTTCAAGCAGTCCATGCAAGTGAATCAATTCAAAACTCAAGTTTCTGGCATTTTTCATACTTTCAAATATTTTAGTAAAAATAAACATAATATGTATATATGTAAATATACACTATTGTTTAAAAGCTTGGGTTCAGTAAGATGTTTGTTTAGAGAAATTCATATTTTCATTCAGCAAGGATGCATTATATTGATCAAAAGTGACAGTAAAGACATTTACAGTATAATGTGACGACAGGGTGTCTATTTAAAATTTTAAATGCGGTTCTTTTCAATTTTCTATTCATCAAAGAATCCCAAAGAGCACCAAATCAGTAAATTAGAATGATTTCTGAAGGATCATTTGAAATAGAATTTGAAAACATATTAAAATGAAAAACGGCCGTTTTAAATTGTAGTAATATTTTACAGTATAACTGTTTTTATCTGTAATTTTGATCAAATAAATGCAGCCTTGCTGAGCATAAGATACTTTTTTCAAAAACGTACCCTACTCTTTTGAACAGTAGTGTAAGTAAAATAAGTCTGGTAATTACTGTGTATTTATATTATATTAGTTCACAAATGATTAATTAAATATTCCTGACTTCATTTAGAGAAAACATGCCTTGATCATTTTCAGCTAGATTACCATGTTTTAGTACTCTCTTTAAAAATGAATGCCAGGTGAAAGTGAAGAAAATACAACAGAATATAACAGAAGAATAATGATTCACAATCAAGTACAGGTTAACAGTGAGTGCTAACTTTGATTCTGTGTGAACGACATTAGTTTCTACTGGCAGAAGAGCTTTTAGGAAAATAGAACTAAATTACTTACAAGTCTAGTTTTTTTTGCATAATTTTGATCATGAGAGCTTTTTTTTGTTCTAACAATATACTGTATATGAGTTAATAGCAATAGTCAAAATACAATCACAGTACTTAGCAAAATAATGCAATACAAAATATGCAGTCCTATTCTTCACATTGTTAGGTCTCAAATTTGAATGTAGATCTATTAGTGATCTTACGGTCTCTGTTCCTGTTGTAGTAGTTCTGTAGAGGGTCGTAACCCGTCTCCTGCTCATCCTGCTGCAGCGGGTGTTGTGTTTCGAAGTTTGGGTGCTGCATGTCCTGCAAAACCAAAGGAAGAGCTAAAGACTGTGATATCAACATTCACCACTGAAGCCACGATCAACACTACAGTACAAAACGGGAACTACATCAGGTATTGTGTGGATACTCACTGTTAGACTCGCCTGGTTCTCCTCATAGGCCTGATCACAGTGGAGACCACAGTCCAGCACTAACCATTAATCTGACAAACAGCAGAGCAAAACAAATTAATAAACCGACAGAGCCTAAACTGACAATACTAATGGCTTACTTATAGTTGACTTTGCATATTAAACCATTGGATAGCATGAAGTATTTAAAGGGACAGTCCACCCAAAAATTCTGTCATCATTTACTCCCCCTCATATCAATCCAAACTGCATGAATTTTTTTCTTCTATGGAACATAAATAATGTATTTTGAAGAATGTTTATAACCAAACTGTTTCAGGTTCTATTGATTTCTATAGTATGGACAAAAATATAACGGAAATCAATGGCAACAGAAACGGTTTGCTTACCAACATTTCTCAAAATATCTTCATTTATGTTCCACAGAAGAAAGAAATGCATACAGGTTTGGAAACACGTGAGGATGAACAAATGATGACAGAATTTTCCTTTTTGGGTGAGCTATCCCTTTAACATTGAAAACGAACAAATGTAGAATAGTACAATGGAAAAAAAGTAGAAATAGCAAGATGTCTTCATCATCAACTTTTCTGAACTGGTTAGGACAAAACCCAAATCAATATACGCCAGAGACACAGCAGCTTGTATCATGTCTGGTTAGTATACACTGAACAGATTGTGTTTGTTTGGATTCATTACATTGTTTCATTTTAGTCAAAACCATTTGGAATTAAATCCAAGTTTAGCTGCTAGTTCTGGCACAGAATGTAAATGTATTTCACAGCCAAACTGTGAATTTCTAAATTCATGACAGCAACATGAATGAAGAGTGCCAGCAACTCAGTTCTTTAAATAATGTTTAATTGGACTGTGTATACAACTGTACCATCACCTCAGGATCATTATACCAGCAACGCTTGTATTCATTTACCAGAATAACCAGCCGTGCTAACATTTGACCGATGTGCAGTGAATTAAAACACAGTCTTGACTCAAACAAAGAGGCAAACAAATGGCGCTCATTTGATCTGTTGTATATGTGGTATAATTGTTCTTCAGCACTGAGGGCGCGTGAGCAAACACACTGGTGGTGCCAAGCGCTGTTTGAAAGTGACTCCCAGACATTTAAAAACCAAAAATATCCCAGCTCCAACAATCCAGAGCCAGACAGCGCTGATGTGACAGTATTAGGCTCTAAAAAGAGGAAAAACAGGCTTGTCTGGATTTCTTTCTTCTATTTTTAAACCTAAATCCATTCTGTTGTTTTTAACGAGGTTGCATTTGGTTCTGAACACACACAACCTCCAGCAAACGTCCTTTATCAATTATGCAGATGAACTAATAAACACTGATCTAACATCTCAGTACACCAAAAGACAGCCTGTGCAACTCATGCATTATATATAACTGTGTTATATTAGATGATATATGAAGAAAAGCTGCCAAGGAAATTGCCGTTGTGGGGGTGGGATGGTACAAAGAAACAAAATCAAATAAAGTTATTATTTAATTATATAAATTACATAAACAATTAAATAATATAAAAACAACTGTATTATTATTATTAATCAAAATAAAATATAGGCTAATAAAGTAATAACAATTGCATAAATATAAATACATAATATAAAAATAACTATTATTATTATCATTAAATAATCAAATAAAATCAAATAAAAAGTAACAATTATATAACATAATATAAAATAACTATATAATTATTATTATTAATAGTAATAATAGCATCCCTCTCCACTGATTCAAACGTTTGTTTTCTAAATAAAATAAAAATGTTAATAAATCATAAGTGGCAGATTTCAAATGGCATAAGCTAACAGATAGCTTTCTCCGTGTATTATAGACCTCCTCGGCCCAGCTCAATTAGATTTATGCATTAGCTGTGGTACAGTGGGAAATCCCAGGATCCTCTGCAGTGAAGTACAGTGCTGGAAATTAGCATAAAGCCTCAGGGACCACTAGAGGTATGATTAAGTCAAGCCAGACACATGGATAATAATTAAAATATGCTAAACACAACAATAATAATGAACTGGACCTGCAAGATACCTCAGCAGCCTCACACAAAGGAATTCAACTAAGACATTCACCAAAAAGATTATTAAGTAAAACGAGTAAAAATAGAAATAAAAATACAGTAGCTCTCTGTAATTAGATGTTGGGTTGGTGTGGCATAAAAATATTGCCTTAATGTTCAGTTTGTTTCTAACATTGCAACTACAGCATTTACTGGCACAGCTGCAGGCTAAAGGCAGCGCTGATGCAATCACTCCACAAATGAATCTTTGCATATTTCATTAGATATTCACATATGCGCACGCACGCACACACACAACATGCATAAATATTTATCACTGCATGTGTGTCTGTATGTGGTTATATACATGCATAGTCAAGGAGAAAAGCTCGATTAGAATTAGGGCTGAATATATTTTTGTATATAATTTTGATTTAGCTAAGATAAACATGGCATTGTCTCCATTTTAATACATTAGGATTGAAAAAGACTAAGACTACATGCAATCCTTAAATACTGTGTGTGTATTTGAGATAAAGTAATGAGGAACCGAAAAAACACTACTGTGAGAAACCTGTGCTAAACCAAATTAAGAAACGAAACAAACACAACTCACTACAGGAACTGTAACTAGGAAAAAAAGTAATTTGCATACATAGAAACGCTAAAGGGAAGTTACTGTAGACTAGTAAATACAAAATTATTTTGAACAGTATTTTGTGAATTTTAGGATCACAAAATAATCCACCAAACGTTTAAGGAGTTCCATCAGACAAAACCCAGCTCATTACATCAAAACGCCCGTGGGTGCAGCACACACCAATAAGGAGGGTCACAGAAGCAAACCAGGCTTAAACCTGTTTAAACACACTCGCATGCCTTCACTTCATCAGCCCTTTACAGAACAGAGCTCCTGCACCAATCACATGACAGTAGCTTGTAGGAATTCTACGAGGAACTGGGTGAACTCAAAAACCCTACGTTATCATTAGTGCAGAATATGCTTGGTCATAATATTAGGGCAGAACTAAATTAAGAAAAGAATGTGAACATGTTCTGGTTCTGTAATATGCATGTATTCACAAACAATGATAACCTGAAACCTTTCAAATATTACAGGACTAAGAGTTCAAATTTATTCAAACAATAATTAACCAAATGCTGTGAGCTAATTGTAATCTGACATGGTTTGTATGCATTAGATATTGCAGCATGACAGGTGTTTAACTCAAACGTCACCAAGTGTGTGTGCGAGTGTGTGTGTGTGTGCGTGCAAGTGTGAAAACAGTCAGCAAGCTGGTCTTGTGATGCCATGGTAAGTCTTTTTCTGTTGTTCAGACTATGTGGCCTCAGGTCCAAAGAGAATCATATACGCCTCCTAAGATCATGCTGTCCTACTTCACAACTACATTATAATGTTACATAAAACTTATTAAGCAAAAATATGAAAGGAAAAAAAGAGGAATCATGAAATATCAAATCCTCAATAGATTCTCAGAAAGGGCATCACTAAAATTCCCATTTTAGTTACTTGTTAAATTACATAACTTTTATTTAAAAATAATAATAATTATAAATATATTTCATTCAGTTTATATAAAATGTCAATTATCAGCATCTGATTTGCCCAATATTTAAAATGGATCATATCAAAGCTTAATATCAGGAGTTTGAAAATACTTTTATCTATGTTCTCTATTATAAGTTACAAATGTTTGGTGCATTAGATTTGTTTGAACAGACATTACAGTATAGATATAGATTTATAATAAAAGCCATCATATTGGTTACAAGTCACTGCATAATAATCATCGCCTATCAGCAAAGCTGTAACCATTTTTTTAAGAACTGGAGACCAAACAAAAATTTAAGAACCAACCATTGAAAACCAATATCAGGCACACATTATTCTGAATTTTAGGGGGAATGTCTCATACTCTATGCATATTATTCTACAGCTTTCAGATATGAGAACCAAGATGTAAGAATCCCTAACTAGAAGTGAAAATAAAAATGGGACAATGATCTCATAATGTGGAAAGACATCAACTGCATAACCAAATTAAATAGTTTGAAACTTACAGGCATCCGAACAGCCCAAATATCAAAGGCAGATTTCAAAGTGATAGATATCATTTCTCATATGCATGTCCCTGACGCCTACTGTTTGTGTAAAAGCGGTCAATAAAGTTGGATTTATTGATGGAGATGTTGAGTCTAAAGGCCTTACGGGGCTGGCAGCTCCACACTTCCGATATGAATCATTGCACAACACTTCACACTCTTCACGTCGCTGCATTCATTTTTGACAAGCACTCCGACTATCGCGAACGGCAGTTTCAATGCAGTAAGGGGAAATGAGTTGATATTTTACCTGCAATGCTTCACGCGGGTCTGCCCACTCTGCCCCGTGCCGTCTGCATGTAAACACTCCAGCGCGAGTCAGGCGGATGTGCCGCAGAACAGCTGATCAGACACGTGACTCCGGAGACGGGAAGCCTGAGCGCGACTTCTAATATCACAGGCTTGAAACGCGCGCGCTATTTTATCCTCGTTTGTCTCGAAAGTCAGAAATAATAACTAATCTAATATAAGAGCTGAGGGTGGATTACGGAGAAGTATTTCTTTATATGACCCAAAAGTCACCATTTGACACCATATACCACATTTAAAAGTGAATTTCGAGACCTGGCAAAGCACTTGTCCTACTTTACAAGCCATTAGTTTTTCAAATAGCAGATTAATGAAGCAGAGATGTTTGCTACAAATCTTCGTAACATAAATGTACCATTTCATTTTATTATCTCGTAATCACAAATTGACAGTCTGTACTCCTAAAAGCAACTTTCCTCAGATAATAACTCATATGTGACCATGGACCACAAAACCAGTCATAAGGGTCTTTTTTTTTAAATTTATTTTTAAAAAATGCTGAATGAATAAGCTTACCATTGGCGTATGGGTTGTTAGGATAGGACAATATTTGGCCAAGATACAACTATTTGAAAATCTGGAATCTGCGGGTGCAAAAAAAAAAAAAGTGAGAAAATCGCCTTTAAATGAGGTTCTTAGCAATGCATATGATATTACTAATTACAATTTTAGTTTTTATATATTTACGGTAGGAAATGTACAAAATATCTTCATGGAACATCAACATGATCTTTAGTTAATACCCTAATGACTTTTGAAAACATTTATGATATTGGACTATCAAAGTCAGTGGGATTTTGAGATATTTTCCCACATTTTAGGTAGACTGTGTTAGTATCTAGTAAAACAAAGTGACTCCTGCATTTAATACGTGTGAGAAATGAAAAATATGGTTATTATGTCGTACTGCAAGATTTTCTGACTGACATGAGCTGAAATTCAGGTGAATGCTTGATTTGTCAATATTAATATGAAATATTTGACATTTCTTTTGTATCTGACAGTGTTGACCCCATATACAGTGATATATATGTGGAGAAAATGGAAGTACGATAATAATGTCTGAATAATAATAATAATAACACTAAACAAACTCAACTTAAGATGGTAAGAAAAATGTGACCATGGACCACAAAACCAGTCATAAGGGTACATTTTTCAAAATTTGTTAGGATAGGACAATATTTGGCAGAGATCCAACTATTTGAAAATCTGGAATCTGAGGGTTCAAAAAAATCGAAATATCGAGAAAATCGCCTTTAAAGCTGTCCAAAAGTCCTTAGCAATGCATATTACTAATCAAAAATTGCGCTTTGATATATTTACGGTAGGAAATGTACAAAATATCTTCATGGAAGATCTTTACTTAATATCCTAATGATTTTTGGCATAAAAGAAAAATCGATGGTTTGGACCCATAGAATGTATTTTTGGCTATTTCTACAAATATACTCGTGCTACTTATGACTGGTTTTGTGGTCCAGGTTCACATATTGACAGGATTGTCAATCCTGACACTAACTAGCAGAGAAATAACGTTCTATAATCAAGAATGCCTTCACAGTTAACAAACATATAAAGCCCATTTTCTAGTTCTCGAATAAAATGGATTTAAATATAATGAACAATAACAAACGGTACAGATTTATTGTAATTCATTAGAGAGAGAGAACTATTCACTGTAATTTTGTTCTATTGACAATAATACAGTAATGTGCTGTTTGCTTCTAACATATAATATATCACGGTTTCAGGGTCTCTGGCAACAGTTCTTGTAAAAGACAACACTGTCTGGCTGAAAATGCCACCATTAACACTGATTGACGTTGCCCGCCACCTGCAAAGATTCAATTGTGGATTTGAGCAGAAAACGAGAGATAAACAATAAATAATACTACTATAAAATTGCAAATCACATTAATTTAGGGGTGTAAATATTTGCTCTAACAACAATTTAAATTAGTGATTCTTCTTTAAATGCTGTGATACATTATGATAATGGTGGCTTAATTAGGTTTGAATATTATAATCGCTCCATTTAATTTTCATAGTCAGACATGAGCGTTTTTACACCCATAATATTAATAAAAAAAAATTGAGAAATTAGAACATTGATTTTTAATGAATTCTTTCCGTGGCATTTTCATTAGTGAAATTTTCAAGTCCATCCAAAGTATGAGGTATCAGTAAAACACCTTGTGCATGAAGGCACAACCGTAAATATATACGCTACATGGTATTGTCAAATCACCCAGTATTCATTGCTGTTTGTTTGTTAATTTAATACACTACGATTCAAAAGTTTGAGGTTGGTATGAGTAAAAAAAAAAAAAATGTTTTTGAAGTCTCTTATGCTCATTCAGGTTGTATTTATTTAATCAAATATACAGTATAAACAGTAATGTGAAATATTATTACAATTTAAAATAACTTTTCTATTTTAAATATTTTGAAATGTAATTAATCCTTCAGATACTTCAAGAAATCATTCTAGTCTGCTGATTTGCTCCTCAAATAAAAAAAAAATTGTATTATCAATGTTGAAAACAGTAATGCTGCTTAATATTTTTGTGGAAACCGTGACACGTTATTTTTCAGTATTCTAAAATGAATAGAAAGTTCAAAAGAACTGTTTATTTCAAATAGAAGCCTTTTGTCATATTATAAATGTCTCTTTTGATCAGTTTAATGCATCCTTGCTGAATTGAAGTATTAAGTTCATTCAAACAAAATAGCCCCAAACTTTTGAATGGTAGTGTATGCCGTTTTTAGGAGTTTATGAATTGGCAGTAGGCGGGACTATCATCACGCTCCTCCTTACATGGAACCTCCTCTTCTTTTTTAATAGTAATGATAAAGCGAGTTTGTGTAGATGCATTTTGCTCCACCACACCATCTTGTTTCCCTGTCATCATGTTTGCATTTGTCTCCTCATCGTTTTCCATTGTATCCCTGCATTCCTCCTCTGCCTCCATGTAATCGTCTTCCCTTTCCTCAATCTCTCTTTCTCCTCTGTTGTCCTGCTCTTCCTGTCTAAGCCAGTTGTGACCATTGAAAAAGCTGAGAACAGCCTCTTTGGCTACTCCTAGTTGAGCAGATAGTGTATGAATGGCCTCTTGATCTGGATGTAGTCCCACTTCCTGAATGAAACTCTGCAGGATTGCATGGGCTTCTGGTGGTAAAGACCTGCCTCCAATATTTGGGCCCATGTGAGTGTCTTTGAGACGTCCAGAGATGAGATGCTGCTGGAGGAAGTGTTGATGATGCTGAGGTGGAATTTTATGCAGTTGTTGGTGCTGATTCAGAGGCACCATATGCATGACCTTTGGGGGGAAAAAATCAATAAAACCATTAAAAAATAAATTATCAGCATAACAATTTGAAAATCTTACATTTTGAACAAAGGAATTCACATGGTTAATGCCATAATATGTGAGTTATAATAAATGGTTTTAAAATTGGATATGGTTAATAAATAATTATGAGATCTAACACATCAAAACATGTTTGATTTTATATATTAGGGCCCATATTAGCAAAATAAATGTAAACAATAATTTACAGTCAGTAATCGGATATACATAATGTATTGTAATTGTTAACTAAAATTATAATTACAGAAGTTTGTGTGAGAAACTCACTTGTAGTTGTTCTGTCAGTGGTCTTGTGTGCTTTTCTGAGTAGAAAGTCTGCCCGGTATTGCTCTCTTGGTCATATATAACATCTCGCTCTGATTGGCTGAGATTTAGGAACTGGCGAATCAGAGACAGATTTTCCCACAGTGTACGATTCTGAGGCGATGGCTCCTCCTTCCAGCGCAGGAGCTCACACAGCCAGCCCTAAAACACAGACACAAATACAGCAGGTTTCAAACATCTGAGACAATGTTGTAAATTTGTTTCAAAATCTAATTTAAACCTAGACGTTAATGTAATGTTTTAGGATTTTTTCGCCCATTTGAAAATGTTCTAATTTAAAATGAATATGAAATATTTTATTTATGCTTTCCATGACATAAATATTTAAATATGTAATAAATATTTATATGTAGGAGATAAATATTTAATTTTCAACAAATATTTAAAATTCTGCAGTATTTCTAGGTCACCAGTCAAATAAGCAAAATTGTGACCTTAACCATGTGAATTCCTTTCTTCAAAATGTAAGATTTTCAAATTGTTATGCTGATAATTTAATTTGTAATGGATAAAATGCAAAATAAATAAATAAATGCATTAAAAAAGCCACAATTCCACTAGTGTTTTAGACATTTTGACCCTACATATTGTCTCATAAAACTGGGAGTGGATTAATACTAATCATACTACAGTACTTAATACTAATCATATTACAGTCAGTGCATTCAAGGTATAGGCTATAAATTGGATATACATTTATTGTATTTCAATATGCATTAAATGTGTATACCTTGAATGCACTGTTAGTGTTTTTAGACGACTGTCTACCAAATATTAAAATAGAAAACAGTTATTTTAAAGTGTAATAATATTTCACAATATTACTGTTTTTGCAGGATTTTTGATCAAAGAAAAGCAGCCTTCTTTTAATAACATTAGATTTCTATTTAAATAAATTTATTTCTTCTAGTAATTTAGACTTTCGGACCCTACTGTACATATCTTCTCATAAAACTGGGAGTGGATTAATACTAATTATTTTCATAATCACTATATTACAGTATATGAATTGTAGGTACAGTATATACTGCACATATCCTTGCATTCCCTGCTTTCATATAAATATTTATTATATGTTTAATCATGTATGAAATGTATATACCTCAAATGCAATGAAAGCTGCTTTGGATAAAATCTGTAAATGTACTGTCTTGTAAGGTGTACCTCTTTCCCCTTTTTTATTAGAGATTTCTTGTGCAATCTGTACCAATGTATTCCTTTTGTACACATGCACACACACGTACCTGACTCTTGGCTGCAGACACTTTTGCAAACAAGGCCTGCGACACTTTTGCTCGTCTCATTTCCTGCTGTATGTCATCATAGATGCCGTAGTTTATTCCAGAATCATCGCATTCCACTTTGACTACAGTGTCATTGGAAACAGGTGAAAGTTTTGCCTGTTTTGAGAGATATTTTTCATGACAACACTTAATTAACAAATGGCACTTTAATATTACCTGTATTGAGAGACACTATGGTTAACTATGAGTTTACTTGTCTAAAATAAGATGCATGTGCTATCCATAGAGATTATAGCACATGCTAATTTGCATCTCAGGTTCTAAGTGTCAGTAAACCTGAATGGGCAGAGGTGAGCTTGTATTGGTGTTGTAGGTAGAGTTGAGGTTACGCTCTCTTTCCTCCAGATAAATTGAGTCTCTCTGGCTCTGTGGCAGTTGCAGGAAGTTCTGCATGGCCCTAAGGTTTACTAAAAGAGACTGAGACGCACACCGTGGGTCTTCTTCCTTGCGCAAGATCTCCGATAGCAGGCCCTGTTGCAAGTAATATCACGGACAGACACATTAATATGTATACAGATACATAATATTTGAGAGATATGCACATTTCTATCATGTTACCTGAGTCCTGTTAATGGCCACTCGTGCAAACACGGCTTGGGAAATCCCCGCCCTCTTTAGTTCCTCACGCACCCAATGGTAAATTTCAGGTGACACGTCGGTGACAGGTGAGGGACATTGAGCTACTGTGGGTGGGGACACATTGCATTTGGGAGGAGTCCTTAGTGGTGCAGGATGAGGCCTGTGTGAGTGCGTGTGAGCGTGTGTGAGGAGCTGAGACATGGCGTGCTGCTGTGACAAGAGCTGAGCCATCACCAGACCAGGCATTCCAGCCTGCATCTGGACAACGCCACGTGACTCCGCCCCACTGTCTTCCATTGGTTGCTGGTACATGGTGGGCTGGCTGGAGGATGATGTTTGGCTGCAATGTCTGCTCATGTCACCTGAAGGGAGATAAAAACCTTTAGTAGCTCCATATTCATATGAAATCACTGGAGTCTATTTAAAATTTACAGCCAAAATCATCTTATTTTCAGTATATGCTGTGACAGCACTTCATATATGTGACCCTGGACCACTTAAGTCGCTGGGGTATATTTGTAGCAATAGCCAAAAATACATTGTATGGGTCAAAATGATAGATTTTTCTTTTATGCCAAAAATAATTAGGATATTAAGTAAAGATCATGCTCCATGAAGATATTTTGTACATTTCCTACCGTAAATATATCGAAACTTCAGTTTTGATTGGTAATATGCATTGCTAAGGACTTTATTAGGACAACTTTAAAGGCAATTTTCTCAATATTTAGATTTTTTTGCACCCTCAGATTCCAGATATTCAAATAGTTGTATCTCGACCAAATATTGTCCTAAGCTTATTTATTCAGATGATGTATAAATCGCAATTTCGAAAAATTGACACTTAAGACTGGTTTTGTGGTCCAGGGTCACATATACCGTTATTTTACTTTACTACAGTTTTAGTATTTAAAATCTATATTTTTACATACACTACCATTCAAAAAATTTGGAGTCAGTAAGATTTTTTAAATTTAAAATAAATGCTTTCTATTTATCAAAGAATCATGCAAAAATGCAGCACAGTTTTCACAAAAATATTAAGCAGCACAACTGTTTTTAACATTACTAATAAGAAGAAAATGTTTCTTGAGCACCAAATCAGCATATTAGAATGATTTCTGAATGATAATGTTACACTAAAACCTGGAGTAATGGCTGCTGAAAATTCAGCTTTGCCATCACAAGAATAAATACAAATTTTAAATGTATTAAAATGGAAAACAGTTATTTTAAATTGTAATATTTCACAATATTACTGTTTTTCTGTATTTTTGATTTTAAAAATTCAGTCTTTGGTGAGCATTATAGACTTCCTTCAAAAAGACTGCAAACTTTGATTGTAGCGTAGTCTTAATCTTTTTGCTTTTTATTAAAATAGGTTAATAAATGATGTATCATGAAATAACAATGAACAATTTTAAAGCATAACCTATCATTTATTAAAGGAGTCATATGATGTTGCTAAAAAAGAACATTATTTGGTGTATTTGGTGTAATGAAATGTTTATGCGGTTTAAGGTTCAAAAAACACATTATTTTCCACATACTGTACATTATTGTTTCTCCTCTATGCCCTGCCTTTCTGAAACGCATCGATTTTTACAAAGCTCATTGGTCTGAAAAGCGAGGTGTGCTGTGATTGGCCAGCTATCCAGTGCGTTGTGATTGGCCGAATACCTCAAGCGTGTGACGGAATTGTTACGCCCCTCACCATACTGTGATGCCTTGTCTGGCTGGAGCGACAAGACAAAAACATTAAAACCCATTACAAACGAGGCATTTGTTGCATCCAGTGGGGACATAATTACAGATTATAATGACTTATACTGTCTTTTTACGCATTGCATCGCGCCGCGTAAACATAAAACCATGTCTGCATTTATGATCGGAGAAATGACAAACAACAAGTGCTACTCTACACTGCTCAAAACTCGCGTTTGAATCGTCAGTGGCAAATTCTTTAAATATGAAAACGTACTTACAGTCTGTGAGTCAGAACAGCCGGCATTGTAGTCTACTCTACCAGGATCAGTAAACAGTCCTCCATAAAATGTGCTGCACACATCTGAATATTTGGGTTGAACTTTTCTGGAACAGTGTTGTAAATACAACTTACTCCTGCTCCAGGTGTGTGTTCACGGTGTGTGTGTGTTCACTGATGTGTGTGTGCATTTTGGATGCAAACAAAGTAGTTTCGCTTTCACAACGAAACACACAGCGTCACACACGGCGGGCTAGAGTGAGTGGTGGTGGGCGAGCTTGCGGCAACCACATGTGACGACCCCGGGCTGAACTCGGCTTCGTCCACGGTGAAAGCCGATCCAACGATCCACAGCGCGAAGTTGATGTATTTCCTCAGCGACCATAACAGATCAGCTCCAGGCATGACGAAGCGGATATCATCCTCTTTTGGAAGACCAAACAAAGTAGTTTTGCTTTCACAACGAAACACACAGCGTCTTCACGACATGGCGGCGGCGGCATTAAAAGTAATACAGCGAGAATAAAAGTTACGCCTTCTTTCTTTGCGTGAACATTTGGGCGGTGTTATGCAAATCTTCCCACACAGTGACGTAGACATGTGAGGGCGTGTTAGAACGAGCCATTTTAGGTAGGCGTGGTTGACTCTTAACTTTTATAAAGAATATCTCTTTGGATTTGAGACTTTAGTCTTTGCAACTTTACAGATCTTCTTTATGCACCAAGAGCTTGTAACACTCCAAAGAGAAAGGAAAAATTTAAATCGCATCATCATATGACCCCCTTTAATGTACTTATATACTATTATATTTTTAATTCATGTTTGTTCATAATACATTTATTGTTAGTTAATACCACTTGAAATGTTAAAAAATTTATATTTAGAAATTTTAAATCTTAAATTAATAAATGCTGTAAATGATTGTTCTTTGTTTGTTCATGGATTAAGCTTTAATGTAAAGTGTTACCAAAAACACAAGATGACTACATAAAGAAAGCTATAAATGTTTGAATATAACAGCTATTCTTGGAGAACATACAGTGGACTGCTACTCACCCATCATAGATTTTGCCCTCTTGTAGTGTTTGTACCACTGGCCAAACTCCTGACATCTCGCAGCAGAGATGCTGGCATAGTAAGTGCCGTTCACTACTGATGAAATCATGCTCTTTCAAAAAAACAAAACAAAAACATACAAGTTAATGTGTTTGTGATTTACACAAATATATGATTTTGCCTCTCATTTCCTTTTTATGTGACCTTAACAGGAATTCGGTAATTAACAGACAGAGCATACTAAATTAAGTTTAGAGGAGTGCCTTGGAACCGACTAAATGTATCCAGAAAGGATGTGCTAAAGGTTTTTGTCTCCTTGCTAAATAGATTTAATAGCTGGTTCTCAACCTAGGGATGGATCTTAATAGTAGGCTGTATTCTTCAATGGAGAGCATTTCTTCGATCATAGTTCTGCTCTTTAACCATGAGATATGAGACAATTAACCCTATTTTATTCTATAGCTACATGCAATTAAGTTATGGTTGATAAAAAGTATGTTTAAGTTAGTATAAGGTTACATGGATAGTGCCTTGCAAAAATAGTACATTTACAGTGTTTTTTTTGTGAACATGTACCTGAGATAGTGGACACTCTTTAGCCAGTGTGCTCTGATTCATTTCTTTTAGCAGCTCCTTCAGGGCATTTCTGACGGTAGAATGAGTCCATTGCTCAGCAGGCAAGTCCTCTAATTTAGAAACACTAAGAGAGTGAGAGAACGTGCGTGAGTCAGTGAGAAAAATGATGTACTGCAATAATTAATTACACTATTAGACATTATCCACAAATAATTATTATTTCACAAATAGCTATATTATTAAGTGTTTATCCTCAAAACTTTAATAACTATAATAACTTTTAATAATTTTAAAATTAGTTTTAATACTAAATTACCTGTGAAAAATTATCCTTATTCATGAATCAGAACAGCTTTAATTTTCAGTGTAGTGTAGTTCACCATTCTGATAAGCCTGTTTGCTGAAACCCAGAGACAGATGTGATGCAAGTGTGTGTGCCAGTTGTACCTGTGTAGCTTTATTCTTAAGGTGATGACATGGTAAAGATCTTGAAGCATGTCTCCTACTGTTGCATCAGAGGTGTCTGTCACAGTTGACAGGGGCACAGGGTTCCAATGGCCAACTTGAACCTGACCTAAAGTAGAAATTCATATTTATTACAATATGACCACTCTATATGATCCTTATATAGTTCCTGCCCCCTTAACTCCTTTTTTTGACTGTATTTTGGAGTTGTTGCTTTTACTTTGCTACTTATTTTTCTCTTCTGGCAACCTTAATAGTTTTCTGATCTTGAGCAAGTTTACATTCTCTTGTGTCCCATCAGCTTTCTGCACTTCCTTTTCTATTTCTCGTTAAGTGTCTTGTACCTCCATCTTGTTTTTCACTAATTAATTGTTGATTCAAATAGGCAAAATATGTATCATATTTGTAACCATTAGCATTAAAAATGAAAAAAAAAAATCCATATATGAGAGATATATGTTACGTTAAAAAAAATACATTAAGTACAGCTTAACTTAACATTCGACTATCTAAACATTTTTGCAATGTTTTTGTTTTTTCATTTATTGTGTAATTTAATTGTCTAGACTTCAATGTTTAAATAGAAATTTAAAATGAATCAAAGTACAGTTAAATTTGATATCAATTAGGTATAATTACTGGAAATAGTTTGTATTATTTGTGTGCTGCAGTTCAAAGGTTTGGGGTCAGTATGTTTTTTTTTCCTTCAGAAAATATGTGCTAAATTGATCAAAAATTACATGTTAAAAAGATTTCTATTTTTTCCTATGCTGGTTTTTAAAACTTTCTATCCATCAGAGAATCCTGGAAAATGTCCACAAAAATATTAAGTAGTAACTGTTTTCAACATTGATGATAATAAGAAATGTTTCTTGAGCACCAAATCAGCATATTAAAAAGCATCTTTGCCATCACAGGAGTACATTACATTTAAAATATATTAAAATAGAAAATGGTTATTTAAAATTATATTAATATTTCACAGTATTACTATTTAATCAGTATAGCCTTGGTGAGCATATGGGACTTTTTACATTTTTGAACATGGTTTACAGTAAGTGTGATGCATATACAAAAAGATAAGATGCAGGCTATATGATGGTGCGGACTGGAACTAAAAGAAACAGCCCCATAAATTGTATTAAGTAAATGCAACCTTGGTGAGCATAAGTGTCTTCTTTCAAAAACAAACAAAAAAATCTGGTATTTTTCTTGGGGTGTACTTAACATTTCTCTATAACCTTTTATAGTTTAAAAACATGTAATAGAGGCTTGCCAATGTGTGTATAAATGCTGTAAGTACTGGTGGGAGGCAATACAATGATTGTTTCAGTTGACAAAAAAAAAAAATTTAATCAGCCTCATCAAGTGATCTCTGTGATTAACGCTTGTTTGCACCTGTACACATGACAGTCACTGTATGTGGCAATCATTCTTTTCCGTAAGCTTAATTATAATGAACAGAGCTTCATTTGTGTCTTTATTTGCATGAGCTTGCATATTTATTTACAACCAAATGAAACGTATTCAGTACATATGATTATAATACAAAATCATTATTTTCATCATATAAAAGCATTCTGCAGCAGAATGATTACAGTTTTCACTACTGTGATAAGCATACATCAGTACACAAGAAATAGAGACAGACACATGATTGGATTATATTATTTATGTCAATTTGTCAAGTCAGCTCTCCAGTGACTCATCATATCTCAACGATTACCCCACAGCAACAACAGCAGTAATGATGAGAATATTACCATAATAATATAAGAAAATTATTAATTAATGCTCTGTTATGTAATATTACTGTACAACAAATTGCTACTTATTTGAATCATGTTTTTAACACTGCCAGAGCACTTTGTGGCAATTTGTATTGTGGCTGTAGAAGGTGAAAGTGTGGTATTGTGAGTATAAACAGTAGAGGGCGACATAGCCTGCTGCGTGTAATATTTTTTACAAAAGAATACTTTAGTACTTTTGACTCTTGCCAAGCAGACATCGTCTCATTTCTCTTTGGTCTACTTTTTGTCCTGCTGTTTTCATTTTAGTACTATTCTATTTACAGTAATCCACCATTTAATATTATCCAAGTATAGTTCAAATGGGCAGCACCAATGGAAATTGCAAAGAAAATAAATCCCACTCCTTTGTTCAAATGGGCCCCACATTGATAATATATTTTCTTTTTAACAAACAGGCTAATAATGTTGTTCTCAAAATACATTAGCAGCCCTACAATTTTTCTCAAATCTATTCCTGAAGGCCTCCCAACCTACACATTTTGGATGTTTCTCTAATCAAACACACCTGATTAAACTCATGCAGGTTTGTAGCAGGTTATAACGTTCTCAGACGTATTACATCAGCCATGCCATTACCTTTTGATTAATTTAATATCTACACTGTGACTTACAATTACCAACAGTACATTTGGATCTTCTGCTTATTTGATGTACTGGTTTTTGCATAGTAAATAGTAGGTAAGTATGCATATGTAAATGCAGGATGTGTCAGATATCCAGTTTTAAGGGGCTTCCAGGACCTGCTTAGACCTTAAATGCTTTCTCTGTATGCAAACAGCTGAAACCAGCTGTGTTAACGTGAGATGAAACCGACACACTGCATGGTGCTCAACACTGACTGAACTAGGCCGTACTGTGAGAATGATTAATTACCTTTATGATAACAATGCACAACAGTGGGTAAGCTACCTTCTAAACTTTAAACCAAAAAGCCTACTGTACCATATTTGATATGCATATTTCTAAGGCCTCGTTAGTAATATGTGACCCTGGACCACAAAACCAGTCATAATAGCACAGGTATATTTGTAGCAATAGCCAACAATACATTGTATGGGACAAAATGATCGATTTTTTTTAATGCCAAAAAACATTAGGATATTAAGTAAAGATCATGTTCCATGAAGATATTTTGTAAATTTCCTACCGTAAATATATCAAAACTTAATTTTTGAATAAGCATTGCTAAGGACTTAATTTGGACAACTTTAAAGGCGATTTTCTCAATATTTAGATTTTTCTGCACCCTCAGATTCCAGATTTTCAAATAGTTGTATCTCGGCCTAATATTGTCCTATCCTAACAAACCATACATCAATGGAAAGCTGATGTATAAATCTCAATTTTAAAAAAATGGACCCTTATGACTGGTTTTGTGGTCCAGGGTCACATATAATGAACATGTATTGGGCTGAAGCAACTTAAAAATAATATGTATGAAAAATCATGTTAAAATTTGAGGATCAAATATGATTCATCATGCTTTTAAGGACTGTTTATTGTTTATATGTTGATTCAGCTCTCAATGATCACTATTGCAAGAGTGAAGAGCATAAAATATTGTTATCTTTAGGTTTACCTCCAACCTCGCGCGCCACTTGTATAGAATGCTCGCGCGCCATTTACCTGACGCGCACCTGCGGGCGTCACTCCCAGTGACACGGGCGCGCGCATCCCCATCCAGCCTGCTCGCGCGCCGGTGAGGGAACGGGGTCCTCCGTTCCTCAGTCAGCTGAAAGCTCAGTTTCACCGGAGTGCTTAAACTGTCTCTACCTTTGTCTCTGACAACGCCGCGTCACTTTGATGGGGAATTCCATATCAGGGCGGGAAAATGCCTGTTATGAAGGGATTGCTCGCGCCACAGAACACATTTTTGGATACTATAGCGACGCGTTTTGACGGCACACGTGAGTTACCGCGATGGCATTTTCCCCTATTTGTGTGCAAAAACTAGTTTGGTGTTTCTAATGAGACTGTTTTTCCTTAAGCAGGACAGACAGTAATAAGTTTGGTCGTCTGAGTAGAGTAGACAAATGTTTGTCACAGCAAGTGCACTGTGAAATTGACAGTATATTTACTATGACAACACATTAAAAGCACGATTCATTAAATAATATTAGGGTTAGAAATGAGCATGTAATAGTGAAATAGCTTCTTAAATGTGAATAATACAAAATGAGTAAATGCAAATAAATCATGAAAAAAAACTTGAGATAAATAGGAATAAAAACACCATGCTTATAACTAGTACTAAATAACACTTTAAAAGCTTCTCTGTTTGTTTTATATGTTTACATGGTTTTTGTTCAGTGTTCAAGTTCAGTATTGTGTGCATAATTGCGTATTTTTTTTTGCTTGTTTTCTGTGAGAAATGTGCATTTTATGGTGTGCAAAGTACTTGTCCTAAGTAGAGGAACAAACTCATCCTGGCCTCTCTCTCTCTCTCTCTCTCTCTCTCTATATATATATGCTAAAGATTTTTTCTGAATTTGGATAATGTGCAAAGTACTTGTCCTAAGTAGAGGAAAAAAACTCACCCTGGCCTCTGCATATATATATGTGTGTATATATATATATATATATATATATATATGTTTGTTTGTTCACTGGAACAGATTTGGAGAAATTTATCATTACATCACTTGCTCAGCAATGGATTCTTTGAAGTAAATGGGTGCCGTCGGAATGAGAGTCCAAACAGCTGATAAAACATGAAAATATGGATTATTGTGATGTTTTTTTATCAGCTGTTTGGGCTCTCATTCTGGCAAGTAATCTACAACACTCCAGTCCATCAGGTCTTGTGAAGTAAAAAGCTGAATGTTTGGAATAAACAAATCCATCATGGCATTTTAACTTTAAACTGTCGTTCTGGCCAAAATATCCATAATCCACAACTAGAGTCATGTGGATTGATGTTTTTATCAGCTGTTTGGATTCTGACGGTACCCATTCACTGCAGAGGGTCCACTGGTGAGCAAGTGATTATGTAATGCTAAATGTCTCCAAATCTGTTTGGATGAAGACAAACTCATCTACATCTTGAATGGCCTGAGGGTGAACTATTCCTTTACCTTTCATTGTATGGACAAACAAATTTTTTTGTTGCTCAAAAAAAGAAAGTCATGCATGTTTGGAATGACACAAGGGTGAATAAATGATGACAGAATTTTCTTCTTTTTTTGATTAAACTATCCCTTTAATAATTGGGTTCAGATTTTTTTAAAATCGCTAACCTTACGTATGATAAATAGAAAAGTGATGCTTTCCTTAGCGAGCACCACTAATTACACCCTTTACTTTATAATCTTGTGCAACATCCAAGTTACATAAAAAAACCTGCTGATTTGTTATTGTCAAGAGAAGCTATACATGTATTAAACTCCCCTCTGAAGCATCCTAATGTGTGTGCTTGCTGTTATGCGTTAATATTCCATCAAGACGAAAGACTTCAAAATACTCTTTTCACACAGGTACCTGTCAGGACAGCATATGGTGGGTAATTACAGTAAAGCAGTGTGTGTGCCAGTTGCGTGTGTTTGCAGTTGTGTGTTACCCAAAGAAAAGGAGAGAGTGTGGTTAACTGTGAAAGAGCAATTTAGAGTAATTTTGGATGAGTCCTTTTAAAAGAACACTTCAAGTAGATGCTTCCGTTGCTAAAATTACGAAGCGCAGGGTTAGACACCCAAGTCAGGTAATGGAGATATTTCAAGCGGTGCACTCTTGCATGTGATGCATAATCACACTACCAGCGAACTCAACACATATCAGGCTCAAAATAAGGAAATTGGCATGTCTGCTGCACCTCTTCCAGTTTGGAACAGATCTATAGGTCTGAAAGACGGTAAAATTGAGGCTCTAGACTGGGAGAACAATGCGTGTCTGTTGTTTGAACTTGGGATAGAGATGTCAGTGTGCTGTTCTTCTGTTGTTCACTGAACTTCACACAGAGCTGAAACTGAGCTCATCAGTCATCATTAGGGAAGAGAGAGAGGGACTGGATGCCTAAGAGGGAAAGCAAAAAAAGATGGACGGGCTAAAGAAAGCATGCAGGGAAATGAAGCAGCAGAACATGGTCTAAAGAGAACGAAGAAAGAAGAACCTTTGCGTATTACATGTTGACATTATTGGATGGTGGAAACAGGACACTGTGAGGATGCACTCTGCAATTTCAGAAGGGTTATCCACACGGATCAGACCAGAATACAGATAGAACTCTTGCTTACTGTTCCAAAGTCTCCGAGAATGGAATTCTGGAATCGTGCCAGTCTAGACTTTCAGACCTTGCCATCTTCCTTTGTCTTATTAACATTCAGAGAATACATTTGTGTGCTCTGGCACGAAGCATGAATTGAAACTAAATTTGAAGGACCCTGCTGAGACTGTTACAAAAGATTATGTAACCACAACAGATTAGTGAAATAAAAAGGTTGAAATGATTATATGTGATGGAGCCATTTTAGACTCTTCCTATTGCTGCTTTGCTTATTGCTGAAAGGATTTTAGCACCATATGCAGATGGTTTTAAATGAGTGCGCTTAGTATCTTGTCAGCTCCATGCCAGTAGAGCTCATTAGCCTGGAGTATTTAAAACGGTAGTTTTTACTGAGATTCAGGAGTCTATTATACATAAAAACATACTTAGGTCATATCAGTGAAGAATTTAAATGTTTTCTCCTTTATCTGTGCTCAAACCTGTTCTCAGATGTCAGTGCAAGACATTATACATGATGCATTAATGCATTCTTTCAAGGAAATAAGATTCAGAACAAAAAGACAGTCAAGATCTCAAGCCAGCAAAATCAAGGCTGAGCTAAAAACACACTTAATCATAAGCTCTCTATACCTTAAAAGTTTGAAGGATGTGTCCTACACTTAGAATACTAGTGTACAGCTTATTGTGTACAGTATACTGTACGCCATCTGTTGTTTTTTACAAATAGTATGTGAAGCAGTATGAAAACAATGCATAGTTGTCATCACATTTAATTCAGAGAGATATGTCTAGTTATGACTTTGGAAAATGAAAATGGTAATTTTGTACTTATTTTCTTTTAAATTGAAGTTCTATAAGTGATTTTTTGATTGTACTAAAGCACACAATTACCAAAATTGCACACAATCTCTGAAAAACAATGCTACAGCCAGTTATTCTACTTTGAAATGTCTAATTTAAATTGACTTTCATTGTACAGACAAAACCCACTGAAATCTTCATTTATTTTTGTCGTTTTGACACAGTGTTTGACGACAGACAGGTTTGGAATGATGTGAGGTTGAGTAAATAATGACATAATTTCCATTTTTAGGGTGGAATGTCCCTTTAAGTCATCATTTTTGCTATTCTGTTTTGTGCCAGTAGTGACGCAGAAATTACAGCTTCAACTATTGATGTTAACGATGTTTTGATTGTTTCAAAAAAAGTATTGAGTCCACGAAAGGTCAGGTTTAGCACATTGCATCGTAGGGTACAATATTTCATGCAGTGTGATACTGCACATTGAGACATAGTAGAATTGCATGCTGAAAAAACATATTATTTACTGCAGGAAAAATTAAAGTATTATAGTAACAGTGTTCAGATCGTGTTTCTCATAGACTAGAGTATTCGTCATTCATGTAAAGCTCACATCCAGTGTCCGTTCTAACCATGCTCGGTCCACCTTGAGTCTCTATTTAATGCAAAAAGAGGCTTCAAATGCAAGACTGCATTGCAATAGAAGGTTCCAGCATCTGTCTTGCCATTCCCTCCCTCAAACATCTCTCCCTCTATCTCAACCAGTTGTTCTCATCATTCCTCTTTTCCTTGCATTCTTCCTCCCCTCACTAATCATACTGCCTCTTTAAATAGCTCTCAGGTGTTCCTGTTTGGGACATAGACTCACAAGAGGGGGACAGAGGGAGGAAGTGTGTGTGTGTTTTATACAACAATCTGGGGCAGACAAGAAATGTGGACATTCCCCCTCTCTCTCCTGCCTCACCCCTTTGTTCCCCCTCCATCTTTCTACATGTTTTTCAGAGTAGATATGCAGTTTCTTGGATAAACACACACACACACACACACACACACACACCCTGTTTTTACAGTCTGGATTCAATCTGTCCAATTAAACATAAACTGACAGAGTAAACCACATGAGGTCTGGTATGGAAATGAGAGACGATATTTTATTTTTTATTTTTTTTGCTTGTACACGCTGTCTGTGATGGTGCACACATGAAAACATGTCTGAGGATAGGATAAGGATGCATTTTGCACAGCAAACATATACACTGTATGCATATATTTAGATTAAAAACAAATATGCTTAGAAATAGACAAACACTCAGCTCCAGTTTTGAATGAACAAGTAGGTATTTTCAGCTGTTGTCATATTGCTGGCCGAAAGGTTATGACCTGGGAGTGAGTAGATGGACAGTAAGATTTCTCTTCTGGGATGTGCTGTCATCTTTAGACTGCAGAACAAGTATGGTTAGTAGAGCCACTTTGGCATGCATCAATGCCAGTCATTGTGAAAATATTCTTAGCAACTGTTTTCAGTCATTATTTTTGTATGTTATTGCTCTGTTGATTCTGTCACAGTGCTTAATCAAAGCCACATCAGATGGGCGAACACATAATAGGCTATGCAGGATATCAGAAGGAAATTCCTCTGTTTTGAGCCAGGGTTATTATAGTT